ACAAAAGACAGGAAACTGGTTTTTAATCATCTCACCAACTAACACTGCCGCTGTTGTTAAGCTATGTGGCATTAGGTAAAATATATATATATACACATGTGTGTGTGTGTGTGTATGTGTGTGTGTGTGTGTGTGTGTGGTATCGCCAATACCAAACTAAATTCATGTATGGGTTGAACTTGATAAAAAACTAACACTTTTGACTAATTTGTCACTCAGAATTGATCATATTTTAAAAATTAGGCCAGGATTCTCTGAGAATAGCAGTAGCTTGGTTCTAAATATTAGATCTCACTGCAAAAAATTATGATGGTCATGTGTTCCGAACTTGACACTGGGTACCGCAGGGTTCTGTATTAGGTACCCTTTTATTGATTATTTATTTCATTGATCTGAGTTTAAATGTGTCTGGTGCTGGTTTGCACTTCTATGCTGATGATACAGTTATTTACTGTTGTGAATAAACTCTTGTTCAGGCTTTTGAATTACTGCAGAAAGACTTTGAAACCATCCCACATTAATTACTTCGGCTGAAACAATGCAGAAGACAGAACAAAATATTTTCCAATGCAAGGAAAAAGCCACTTTCCCACGCTTGAAGGAATTAAAATAGAGCAAGTACATGTGTATCAGTGTGTAAGAAAAATATTTTCCTAATTGCTGTAAATATGTTGACTTGTTTTTTTTACATGCTGAGATGCATTACGAAAGCTTTTAGCTTCACTACTTAATAAGTGATGTTTTTAGCACATGCTCCAGGGTCAATGGTGGAACAAACAACGTTTAGCCTGACAGAAAGGCATGTAAATCCTGGCGGCCCACCAGCATATCCACAAGGGGAAACCCTGTATTTGTCACCCTGAAGCCTCAYTCATAAGAAAGCTCAGTTCGGACCGACGTGTTCTGTTGTTCTCAAACCATTCAGAAAAAACACAGAGGCGGGTTAGAAGTGAGTCTACCTCTGATGCCCCTCTGAGCCGCCGAATGAGGTAGTATCAGCGCCAGGAATAGTGACTTGAGAAAAAGAAACAAGCTCCAAAAATGATATTGAGCTGACGATGACAAATGAGTGGCAGCTGGATTAATAGACAAACAGATTTTTACTGAGGAAATATTAAATATGACACAAAAATGCAACTTTGTTGCTAGTTTAAAAAAATATATTGAACCACAGAATCACTAAAGTAAGTTAATTCAGTTTGTTAAGAGGCAGATGCCCATCACACCATAAATACGTTGCAGTCCACTTCAGCCGAGCTGAGATCTGCCCCATGCCTCTTCACTTCCGCGTTCATTTCTGAATGCGGGAACTGTACGGCTTCATCTGTGATTCCTAAATGAGCCGAGGGAGCTTAAAGCCAGACTGGTCTGTGTGGCAATTTTGCGGAACTGTCATAAGAAAGAGGCTTGAGTTAAAAACAAAATTAAATTWAAAAAAAAAYGAGTGGAGTAGATWCCAAACCACAATGCTTYGAAATACCGTCCYCTGCTTTCTTATTCATTTGAAAAGGCAAACACTAAAAAGCCAATAATTACAAATTCATCAATACATCTCTTAATTTTTCACAAAGAAAAAAAAACATCAGCGCATACAACTATAACTGCTTCAGAAATAAGAACATGATTCTCTGTCATATTTGGTCCAGTTTCTCTGATCTGTTGTGTAGATTTTCCCTCTCTACATTGATTCTGATCTCACAGGGTCATCTTTCTTGTGGATCTGAACTTCACTGAGTGATGGCAGAAAGACCTCTGACAGACTGGGATAGTGGTCTCTGTGAGTGCTTTGAGGATCCAAACACCTGTAAGAGTCAAACCTGGTAATTTTTCATAATAAATAAAAAGAAGAATAATCTCCAAGGATTATTTTGTCACTGTATTTATACGTCTTGTGTTTTACAGGTTGCTATGGGTTTTGGTGCGGGCCCTGCTTGGCYGGCACAGTTTCGAGACGATTTGGAGAAAACCACTGTCTGCCATTATGTGATATTTGTGGTATTTTTCTATCTACTTACTTTTGCAGCCCCATGTTTGTTCCTCCTGCAGCCTTGTCTCTAAGAGTCGCCATGAGAACYAAGTATGGCATCAAGGTATGACATTGTGAAAAACTAACTCCGATTACTGTCAGCATGTTTGAGTGTTTCTCTTAGTGTGGTCCATGGCAAGCCCCGGAGGGTTCAATAAACAGATTTTCTCATTTATTGTACCGCTGCTTACCCAGGCAAATGCCATTGAGATCATAGATCTCATTTTCTTGGGACGCCTGGGCCTGAACGCAACATTTTGTAAATTTTTGGTGTCTGGGGGAAACTGGAGTATACTGARAAAACCCACACAAGCACAAGGAGAACATGCAAACTCCACATAGAAAGACCACYGGTCCAAACTGGGGATTGAACCCTGGACTTTTTTGCTATAAGGAGGCAATGCTAACCACTGAYCCAACGTGCTGCCAAAGATGTATGWATGCATTTTTTAACCTTGCAAATAGTGGGCTGTGCCTCATCTTTCACCATGTGGTGGCGTAAATAACGCACAGTGGAATTTTCTGCATATTTTATCATCAAGAGGCTGTCCTGTTACTGCTCAGCCAGACTTTAGGGTATTTTATCTGCTCTTTGGGGAAATCCAGAAATTACAGGATTTTGCTTCTGACTTAAAGGCACAGTGTGTAGGATTTTGTCAATTCTTTTAGCCGAAATTGAGATAATCACTAATGACAATAATAAAAAACATGCCTAATCATTGCAGACAAAGACCTTGTTTTATTATTTTTACCTTATAAAAAGCTGTTTACATCTCCATGGTCGCGGGTTGCCACTACAGGCTGCCGCCATCTTGTCAACGAAGGCTCATGAAGGACAAACTGCGGWGGTGGCATCAAAAACGGTTTTAGTTGTAATACTATAAATGTAATATTTGTTGTCTGTCATTGTAGCTGGGATAATTTTACTTATTAAAGCTCATAATCTTACCACTTGAAACATCACTAGCCCTGAAGCTGCTGGTAGACATCGCGGTTGGAATTATCAAAGGTTTTTGACACCTGAGAGACACCGTAGCAACTCATTTGCGTTTGGAAGCAGGGGGTGGGGGTGGGGGGAGGACCAGGGAGGATGATTCAACCACTCAACCACTAGATGTCACTGAAAACAACAAATCCTACACACTGTGCCTTTAATCACACCCACAGTCTACTTGCTCTACCTTCAGGGGGAAAAAATGGTTTTATTGAGTTCACTGCTGTATTTCCTCTCCTTTTTTTTCCAATTTGTTTTTGACATGTACTATGCCTTGGCTTGTGTTTTTAAAGTTTCATGCTTAAAGTGACAAAGGATACATTAAAAAGATAGTGTTGATCAATATGTAGTTCCTCTTACACAACAGCAGATGTCAGTAAAAGCTCGGAATCCTACATTTAACACTGTAACATGAATTTGAATCCAAATCTGCATGTTAGAACTACCCCATCCTTCTTGTTAGGATAAATGACCAGTTTTAACATCCTAAATGTCCAAAAAGGCCAAGGACATTCAGTTAAAGGAAACCCAGGATGAAAGTATACTATTTTTGGCAATTGCACATCTTATTTGATACTCATGTCCTTACTCTCTTCTGTCTTTGTCTCCCTCTGGTGTTTGTCCTCTGGTGTTTCCATTCTCATCCTCTMCCTCTGTCAGCTCGGTCCTCTCAGAATCTTCCAGTCAGTTCTCTTACACCTGTCTTCAGTAAGCACCCAGCTGTTTCCACTTTCCACTCAACCCTGCTRTATTTAATGGGTCTCTGGTCATCACTTCCTCGTCGACTTTTTCTTTAAATAAACCTTGTAATTTTTTTCGGTTCCTCTTGTCTGCCTGCATTTGGGTCCGATCTCGCCCCGTACATCTCACAATATTATCCTTTAATTTTGTTTCTTGTATGTTTAATACATTTTCCATTTGTGTGAGCATGTTGATTATAAAATATGAAGATAATGCTACTGTGCGCTAAGATTAAAAATACATTTGTGTAGAAAATAAATAAATAAACGGTACAGCCAGCTTTTTATGGGTTGGAAGAAGGCATAAATATACGTTCGTTTATTGAACCGTCCGGTTTAMCATAGTGGCCTGCTGTTTCTACTGCTTTAGTTCTTGGTATTAAATAATATTAGCAATGAAGTATTTGTATTTATATTCCCCCAAATAATCGGAACTGAGAAAACAGTAAATGTATTTATTGTGTTCATTTGCAGGGCTCCATGTGTAAGGACATTGCCATCTCCTATTGCTGTGGGATTTGCTCCTGGTGTCAGATGCATCGGGAGTTAAAACATTGGAAGAAAAACCCGGTCGTCATCAACATGTTGTCTCAGTCTGTTGTCAACATGCAGCCTGCTGCTGTGATGATGACGATGCCTGTGGACCCTCTTCCAGTTGGTGCTGTGGGGCCGTCGGGCCCTGGTTTGCCGGGGCAGACGGGGGCTATCGAGCATTCACACTTATCTTCAAACGTTGAGTAACTTGGTTTGTTGTAGTTGAGCATAGTTCTGAACACATGCACTATTTTAAAGCAACATATTGCAAAAGTTAATAATTGTTGTGGTTTGATAAACAGCTGAAACAATTTCAATCTGACTTTTAAAAATCGGGTGGCAAGGATTGTGGGCAGTACGCATTCCAATGTTAAATTTTGTTTTCATTACGTAAATTTGAGGTGATTCCTTTTTATCTTGAAACTGGTAAAATAAGTTAAAACTTGATTTGTATTTTAACTGTTTATTTTATGTGTGATGTATGTAAGTTGTTGCTTGATGATACACATTTCATTTGGTCAATAAACACAAATCAGAAACYGTTTTTAATTTTTGTTTCTCAGAATCAGAAATATTTTTTTGATCCCAAAGAGAAATTACAGTTGTTACAGCTGCAATCTTTCAAGTAAAACACTTGGAGAAAAAAGATAAACAAAAATGTAAACATTAGGGGTAAAAAAAAAAAACTTGTGAAATATGTACAGGATGGTTAACATCATGCATACCGAATGAAAATATAACCATATTAAAGGATCTGTGTAACATTTAGGGGCATCAGAGCAAGACCAAGTCATCAGCTTACAGCACTGTTC